TAGTGATGTACTATATGTTGGCTAATTGAATTTAAATTTTAAAAAAAGTAAAGAATTTTACAGGCTTCAGCATGTGGCAGGGTTGGAACAAGGCATGGACGCTGATATTTATGAGTAACTTTCACGCTTGTATAGGAGAAGACCCTTCCTTTTATATCATTATTCTCAAACCATGATCGGAAGAACCCTAAAGTTCTTGAGGGGTGCCTCAGTCTTGCTTTCCACAGGAATAGCTTTGTTTTTATTTGTTTCATGTGTTGAGGTTTGCCTTAACCTTTAATTATTAGCTTGGTGATGGAGTTCTGCTCTTGAATAGGACTTTATGGGTTCATGTGTCTGCTCCACCATGCCTGATTTTAGAACCTTGAGTTAGTTACTGCACCCTCTGTGCTTTCGTTTTGTGCTCAGTACAATGGAGATCATAACAGGCCTGACTTCATAGGCTTTCTGTGAGTATGGAAAGTGACAATACATGCGTAGTATCTAGAAGGGCACTTACTGTCCAGTGAGTGCGTGAAAGTTTGAACGTAAGTGGCTAAGTCTGTGTTAGAACTTGCAACTGTCTGATGCCAAAGTTAGACTCTTACCACTATGAAATCACACTGTTGAATTAAGCCGAGGGAATGAAAGGAATGAAGGGGATTGAAAGATTGAGGAGAGGAGAAAAGATTCAGTGCCTCTCTCTCAGAGGTTCGCTTGCATTGCAGGCTCAGATGATGAATCTTGCTGCTGAAGGAGAAAGGCTACTGAAGCAAGGAGGGTTTTTTGTGTGTCCTCCAGTGGTGAAGACTTCAGGATGCTACTGAAAGGGAGCTTATTTTGGCCTCTTCTAGACTAGAGTTGTTTCAGGAAACAACTGTAAAGTAGACTGCTTTTCCTAGAAACCTGTAACAAGGAGACTGATTAAGTGATTAGAAAGTCTTGTGATTCTTAATAATTGAGAAACACAATAGTTTTATATAGTAATGAAACTAGGCTTAAAATGCCTGAGTACAGATAACAAGTAGTCACCATCAAATTATAAAAATATAACATTTGTGGGGCCTGGAGATACGAATTAAAATTTTAATTTTGGGGGTGCCTGGATGGCTCAGTCATTGAGCGGCTGCCTTTGGCTCGGGTTGTGATCCCAGGGTCCTGGGATCGAGCCCTACATCGGGCTCCCTGCATAGTAGGAAGCCTGTTACTCCCTCTCCCACTTGCCCTGCTTGTGTTCCCTCTCTCATTGTGTTTCTCTCTGTCAAATAAATAAAATCTAAAAATAAAAAAAATTTTAATTAAAAAGTAAAATTTTAATTTTGAGGTCTTAATTTATTTTGTTTGGCAAAAGAACTAACCAATTTATGTTATAGAAAATTATTTTAAAAATGCTTGTGTTGTATTATGCAGAGAAGCCAGAGCATGTTCTTTCCTTGGATATTTACTTATTTTGTGGCCTAAAAGCTATTACTAAACTACGTACATGTACATGTACATGCCACATCACCCAGGTTTTTAATGACATGTCCCTTGTGACACAAACAGCTAAAGATGTGCTAGGAAGGAGACATTTGAAAACACCCTTTTTAAAGGGATCTAACAGTGGTTGTCGTCATCAGACTGTTACCTAGTATTCTTGTATGTTAAATATACATTTAAGGTTTAATGGGAAAGAAGAAAGAAAGGCCTTGTAACAAAAGAGTTTCCAGGATTTCAAATTTTAGCCAGTTCAGAGAATCAATGGAAAAGATCTAATGCTAACCTTAGAAATAAGATCTGCAAGAGCTGGCTGTTTCTAAAATGGGAGTTGTATTATAGGTTCACAATCCATACCAGTAGGATTCTAAGCCAACCATTGATTTTCCTTTTCCTATAGGAGAAGTTATGTCAAGAGCAGTCAAACAACTTAAATCCAAAGAGATCAGCCTTCTAAAAATATCAAAATTACTGAAGCATTCTTTGGAAATTGCATTCCTATATAATAATTATATATCAGTATTATAGCAATTATATGATACATTATATTCTGATATATAATTATAGTTAATACTATATATTATATATAATCTTAGGATTGATTGCTAAAAGATAGGTTTCAATAACATCAGGTCCATCGATGTGATTTTTATAGGTGAGGAGGCAATGAGCATTGAAATGATTTGAATGAGATTAATTGATTAGCTTTTGTCAGGTTGGATATAATAATCCTGGTCTTTCAATAGAGCCTCATACTTTAGTAACATATTAATTTTTTCTATTCTTAATTGGTTATTTTTGCCTTGGATTTTCTTGAACTTTTAAGACAAGGCACTTTCTGACAAGTTATTTATTATGATGCCTGTGACTTCTCAGGAAGATGAATCAACAGGATTTCTTTTTGTTCCTGCTCATTTACTCACTGAATCAAGACTGATGAAGGTGATACAGCACAAAAGCTTAATAGACCCTGTGAGAAGATCCCATTCACATGCTTTTAATAACATGTATGTAGATAATAAGACAGATCTTAGTTATTTATGCTTTTAGTAGATCTGGTTACTGGATAAATCCTGGAGAGATGATTATGAAGGACATTCTGAAGTCTTCTAACATTGGTAAATTCCAAATTCTGAGATTTTAAACAGCAGTGGGAGCCACAGAAGAAAGTAAAATTCCTCACTGAAATAACAAACTTTTTTTATTTTTAAAATATTATTTTATTTTATTTTTTTACCAACTTCTTTTTAAAAAATCAAATCTGTTCCAAGGGTGCCTTGGGTGGCACCCTTGGGTACACAGTTGGTTAAGCCTCAGACTCTTTTCAGCTCATGTTGGGATCTCAGTGTTGTGAGATTGGGCCCTCCATCGGGCTCTGTGATCAGTGTGGAGTCAGCTTAAGATTCTCTCTCCCTCTGCCCCTCCCTCCTGCTCTCTCCTCTCTCTCAAATAAATCTTTAAAAAAAAAAAGAAATCAAATATTTTCCAATAAACAAAATTCACTGTGAATTGTGCATGTTTCCCGAAGTTTTAGTTGTCATCAGATATTTATTACCAATTTCTCCAGGGATGGACTTGAGTGCTGAAAGCAGTCGCTGGCTGTACTCTGTTTTCTGGTTGACCTGATGACATAGCAAAGCTGTTAGTAATTACAGTTAATCAGCACCATGAATTATGCTTACAGTTATGTAATCATAACTTTCTTTTTATCGTTACACATTTCTGAACTGTTTTCCTCCATCTCTTTCCCTCTCTGCATCTATTTTCCATCTTTTACATTGATAGAAATGTAGAGTAATTTTAATATGATCATTTCTAAAACATTAAGTATGCTTTAAAGGATTTATCCCAAAATAAAATACATTCTACAGTAAATCTTTTATTATGCCCACTTTGCTTTTCTCCCTTCCTCTCTCCCCTTTCTTCCACCTTTTGCCCTGCCTCCTTCCTCTTTCTGAGGATAGAAGGGATACAAATTGTAGAGAATTATTTGAATAAAATGCATTCAGAATAGAAGAACCATATTTCTCACTATGGGGGTGGGGATGCATAAGAAACAAAGGAAGAGAGATGGCTGGGTTTAGTTGGTGAAGTGTCTGCCCTCAGCTCAGGTCATGATCCCTGGGTTCTGGGGTTGAGTCCTGCATTGGGCTCCCTGCTCAGCAGAGCGTCTGCTTCTCCCTCTCTCTGCAGCTCCCCCATTTGTGTTCTCTCTCTCTGACAAATAAATAAATAAAATCTTAAAAAAAAAAAAAAAAAAGATAAGGAAGAAGAGGACTGAGGGATAAGGTTCCATGAATGAGAGAGTTTTAATGCTTTAAAGAAATGAGAGACTCATGGAACTTCAGGGATGTTAGAAAATGAGAGAGAACACCTGATTTTATTAAGTTGCTGTGTGTTAACACTTAGACACCATTACTTCATTCCACATGCTTACATATTTTATGAGTAAAAACTGAGATACTCATCTACCTACGCATCTTGAAATGTGATTCTGTAGAGTGTGGGCTAGGAATATGGTTTTATGAGTGTAAGATTACTTGGGTTTCATTTAATTAAAATAGGTATCAAAAGGCCAGAATGTTGACATTTGATTTTCTGTTGCCTTTCTCATGTCTGACTCTGTCAGTTTTCAGGTCTCACTCAGCTAAAATGTGTGTGTGTGTGTGTGTCTGTGTGTCTGTGTGTGTGTGTGTGTATGTTTACTTGCCCGCACACAGACATATACCTGTCAATTTATATTAAGAAATAATGGAAGACTAAATCATAAAATAAAATAAAAAACCCCAACTCTCAGTTCTCCAAAGTGATTAAATTATTTGCACTTCCTCTGCAATATATGAGTTTCCTTTGCTTCATATTCTCTCCATTTGGTGGTGGTAGTCTTTTTGATTTCAACTGTTCTCTACGGAGTGTGAAATGTTATCTCATTGTGATTTTAATTTGCGTTCAGTCATGTTAAGCACTTTTACATGTACCTATTTGCCTTTCTTATGTTTTCTTTTGTGAGGTGTCTTTTCATGCTTGTGCCCATTGGGAAAGGGTTATTAGTCTTTGTACTTATGATGTGTAGGAATTTGCATGTATTCGGCATATATTTTCAATGTCATATATATGTATAACTGTCCTCTTTTGCTATTTAACAATAATAATATCCAAAGGATATTATGTATGGAAGATATTGATACATTTAATATTTCTTTTTTTTTTTTTTACAGTTTTATTTATTTATTTCAGGGAAAGAGATAGAGAAAGTGTGAGTGGGGTGGGAGAGAGGGGCAAAAGGAGAGGGAGAAAGAGAATCTCCAGCAGACACCCTGCTGAGCATGGAGCCGGACCTGGGGCTTGATCTCATGATCCTGAGGGCAGGACCTGAGCTGAAATCAAGAGTTGGACGTTTATCTGACTGAGCCATTGACTGTGCCCCAATACATTTAACACTTCTAAGCCAGCAATTTTGGAAGGAAATTAGTATTTAAAACACAGACTTTATAATTTTCAATTTAAAACAAAAATTACATCCTGTTATTCTGTTTTCATTTCAGGTGCAGTTAAAAACTAGCATTTCTAGTCAGTATGTAATTCGGACACAACCAACTAATAGGTGCCTTTCTACACTGGAATGTGCAGCTGCTGCTCTTTCCATTTTGGAGAAAAATAATTACATACAAGAGGTATGTCTTTGGAAGGTTATATAGTTTATGAAAGGAAGCAGTTTTGGTTAGATTTTATCTAGAAAATTTAGGAATGCATAACTTGTTAAATTTGCAGCTCAGGTGTCAAATTGAATGTTTCTGGTGATAGAAATTTATAACCTTCTTTCCCTCTCTGGTGTTTTTCTGTGTTAGTTTAGCATCCAGATTGCATTATTTAAATATTCATTCTAAGCTGTGCAAACAGCATTTGTAATAAGCTAAATTGCTTTTAAGTAGCACAGCATTAAATACAGGGGGTTTGGTTAGATTTTTCTTTTATTATTTTATATTTGTCTTTTAGCATTTTGTGTTTCTCGTACACAGCTTTTTTCTTTCTAATTAAAAGAGTATTTTAGAGCAGCCCCCCCCACCTTTTTTTTTTGCATTGGTGCTTTTATTTGAGAAGTTGTACCAACTTTTTGTTTCTCTTCATCACTACTTGCTTGGGGTATAGAAAAGATAATTTTCTGAGAAAAAAATGCCTGCAGAATATAAAAAGGCTATAACCTACAATCATCATTTTATTTAATTTCCATGAAAGCCTGATGATTTTGTATGTAATTAATAATCATCAGTAAAGAATGATGTTCATTGAGCTCACAAACATCTCAGTCTTTTGGAACATGTTTTGCACTTCAGGCAAAAGAAAAAAGAACAGCAAAATAAGACTTAAATTGTTAGAGTTTTTTAATCACTGAAGATTTTTGATAAAACTCAAGAAGAAAAGTCAGAGGATAATGACCATAACTAGGTGGAGTTTTATAACTCCTCTTTCACACACACACACACACACACACACACACACACAGTACTCATCCCTATCTTCTCTCTCTTTCTCTCTCTCATTATGCGCTCTGGGTACTATTACAAGAGTGTGCCTTAGCCGTGAAGGAAATTTCAGTAATGGACAAAAGCTCAGGTCAGAGTAACTGGATTGGTTACCAAGAGAAAGAAAGGGTTAAAGAATGCCAGAAGCAAGCCTTGACTTGCCTTTTCCCTCTCCCCTACCCTAAGCCATGGGAAATGTCAGAGTTGGAGGCTTTTCTTCTTATGAAAGAAGTAGGCTTTCATGAGTAGGCTTTTTTGCGTGTGTATCTTTGTAAGTAGAATTTGTTTTGGGTCTAGGCAATTTTTCTTTCTCTGTTCTCTTTTCTTTGAGGAAGAAAAAAATTTCTTGAGGGACTGTACATCTTTCTCCCAAATGAGCGGAGTGTTTCTGACTTTTCTCCCTCTGCTCTAACCTTATCACCTGTTCCCATGTAACTAACTATCAACAAAGCACTTTATATACCCCTATACTTGTTTTTCTGTTTTGTGTATATGTTCTTGAGCAAAAATAATATATTCTTTTTAGGCATCTTAAAAGAAAGATGAAACTGAGCACTGTTATTTAAACTTGCTTTCTGTACAGTCTCTGTATTTTCCTTTTTGTTGATTTAAAACTCTGCAACCAGCTGACATCAGACCAAGGACCCATTAAAAGCTCCAATCTTGAGGGAAAAATGTAATATTCTTTGGCTGTGGATTTGGAACTTTATTTCCTCTCCTTCTTTGGTGTTCTGAAAAGAATTGTCCATGGGCCTACATCTCTTATTTCTACATTGGAATTGGATCTTTTACTTCAGTTCTGAACAGAAGCTTTATTGTTGTTGGTGGTGATTTAATAATGTCCTTGTAATGCGATGGGGCTAGGGGTTTTGATAGTTTTTGTACTGCTACTGCTAGTGCGGCTACTGCTCCTTCCTTCCCAGCTTCATAAGATACATGATTCTGGTATTAGTTAATGCACCATTCCAGCAGGAAGCTTGTCTTATGCTCTGAGTATAATATCCAACAACAGGCAAAATTCAGGATACAGAATGGCGACAGGATCCCTCCTATCTTCAGATTTTGTTATTGTTGTCTGTGGGTCAAATGGCATGCGAAATCCCAAAGTAATAGTGAGATCCTATAGTTCTCTTTCTGTTTGCTTTGATCGTCAGAAGTAGTCATACTTCAGTAGCCAGGAGAGGAAAAATGGTGTTTGACAATCAGATGCGTGAGTTGGGAGGTGCTGATAAGATTCTTGGCTAGAGCATGAGCAGAAGAAATGCATAATGGAACATCCCAAGTTGCTTATTATTACAGCTGGCAAAAAATTAGCTTTCTCAGTGGGGGAATCCCAAGTCTAGCCTGTTCAAATCTAGCTACAGTTTTTAAAAAAATGCATTAGTTCATTCTTCTGAGAAATGTAGTTACTATCTGTTCTGAACATAGGTGCTTTCTCTCTTTCCTGAGGGGGAAAGCCATGACACATGTTTCCCCAGTAACCTTTTATTAGGGGCCCCCTAATGAAATGTTAAGATAGTGGGGCAGAGTAGTAATTTTTCAGCTGGCTTTATTCTGTGTGGGTAGGTAGGGCTCCTCAAAATGAAGAACTTGGCATAGAAGAGCATTCTTAGTCTGCTGGCTCATCCTCGCTCTTTATTCCTGAGCAGCTTTTCAAACACAGTGGCTCAGGGTGAGCTTTGAAGCAGGCTTGAACGAAACCTCCATCACTTATCATCATCACTTTGCCCATGAGCAATTCACATAATCCCCTTGCACTTGTTTACTTCCCTATAATGTACCCAAGATAGTTACCTCTTAGTACTGTTGTGAGAATTGAGTGGAAAAATATATGTTAATTGCGTGACACAAGGAACTCAAGAAGAATTAATCCCCTTGTTCTTCCTTGTCCCCGATTCTTGCCAATAAATTAACCAAAAATTTGAGCTGCAAATTGGTGGTTTTCATTCAGCTACTGTAATACTTACCAGGGCTTTTCACACCTTGGAGGTCTTGAGCTTAGGGATCTTTTTTATAGTAAAACATTTTCTACTTCTGAAGTTTTACCTCATGAGCCTGTATAGCTAGATGGGGTAAAGCTTCGTGCACAGCCTAAGTGCCTTAGCCCTGCTCGACAGCAGTAGCTGGTCAGTCATGGCCCCTTGAGAACTGTCACTTTATACCAGAGGACAAAAGGTTTTATAAAACACTGATTCCTGTCCCCCACCCCCCAAGTAAACTTTTAGAAATGAACTTATTTTGAAAGTGGAGGATTTGGGATTTCCATTGTTCCTCTGAACCAGTCTGTTTCTCCTGTAGCTTCGCATTGCCTGGGGTATAATGTTTGTTTATACAGAAGCCTTGTTACTTACTGCCATGTGGTGTGCTAAACACATTAGATGCATCCCCTTAGCGTAACCTAATAATGACCCTGTAAGGTTGACATTATTTCCCTCCTTTTACAGATGGAGAAAATGGCAAGGAGAAGTTATATGACTTACCTGGGGACACATAGCTAGTGATGATTACACCAGTCAGGATAGGCTAGATGTGACTATAAAATCAGAACAGCATCACACCACAGAGGTTGATGCGTGTGTCACACTGTCTGTGCTGGGGGATCCCTGGGGGCTTGTGCTTGCTACAGTCCCTTAGGGGCCTAGGCTGGTGGAGGCACCATTTAGATATGTCATTCTCCTCTCATCAAGGAAGGCGTAAAGGGAGCTGGTGAATCATACATTCTTTTAAAGCTTCTGTCCAGAGGTGATACCAGTATTTATGCTCACATTTCATTAACCAAAGCAAGTGATATGGCTACATCTAATTTCAAGGATGGAGGACTGGTGTATTTGTGAACCGCCCTACTGAGTACCACACAGATGGAGTGGGGATCTAATCTAGATCTATCTCCACAACTCCTTCTCTTAGTTACCTCAGGAAACAGGTAGAATCTTCTTCTCAGGAGGTAAACATTGGGGGCCTTTACCAATAGGAATATTAGGGTTCTGTCCATCAAGAATCTGATAAATACCATAAATAGCAACAGAACCTTCAGTTGTCTCAGTCTGTGTCGTCCTCGGTTTGTTTTCTAGGGATGGTGTTTCAGGATCCCGTCAGTCTGAGCTGACTTTGTAAAGAAATATATAGTCATTTCTACATTCCCTCTCTTATTTGAACAACTTGAAGAAAATCATGATAGTATATATTAGGGGCTTTCTACACTAATGGCGTGCAGAGTTTCTCCAAGAAGTCTGTCTCTTTCCCATTGGTGTACGTCAGGGATTACATGGGGTTGCCTGTGACAGAGTGGCTCCTACAGTGCTTGGACCACGTATGTATGCTTCTTTTCCTCCTGGGTAGAAGGGATGGTGAGGTGAGCAGCCCAGGGCTGGGCATCACTTAGGTCTCTCTGTCCATCATTGAATGGATGTATTTGACTTTAACCTTTGTGTTTATTGCCTAGGAGTCACATGATAGTTATCCCACCCCCACAGTCCTGTTCCAGGCAAGAGAAAAGTGCAGGAGCCTCTGCCTGTCGAGTCTGTCCCGTTTTAAAGAGTGTCTCTGGAAGCCCCACGCAGAACCCCCCCCCCCCCGCCACGCCCCACACACATATCATTACACGGAGTGTTGGTAGCCAGTTAGCATTACCAGCTGGGTACATTGCTACCTGGAATAACATTTTGGATTTTTTTTTATAAGAAAAGAATAAATATGGAGAGGGAAATGCTGGTGGCTTGTTGCAGTGTCTGAGTTCACTGTCAAAGTAGAGAGCTGATGTTAAGCTCTTTGCTGCCACTCTCTGTGGATGAGGGATGATACATTTTTACATAGACGTTGTGACATTTTGGTAGATAAATTTATCCGTTTTTTTTCTTTGTTCCTTTTATTTCTAAAAAAGAGTTTGCTTACTCAAGTTTGCTATTGTTACTTGGGAGATTTCGATCAGGGATCTCAGGCCCAAGGAAAGACTCTGACTCAAAATATGTTTTAAACATGTGACAGAGTGGGATTTTTTTCTTTTTTCTTTTTCTTTAATTTTTGAACTTGAAAAACTTGAGGTATGGCTTATACTCTACTTGTGTTTTAACCGCCATCATTCTTTGTTATCATATGGGTTTCCCCCTACCCCCGTACATGTTTATGTTATATGACTAGCCCTGTCGGTATTTGGATTTAGATATTAAGATACCTGGTGACGTTGTGTTTGGAGCAGCAACGTCCAAACATATATAGTTAGAATTATTTTCAAATGTACCAAATACCAGGGTATTTAACTTGCTGTGGTCCCCAGACCAATGTGAGAGAATTAGTAAACCTCTTACCCATTGCTGCTCTCATCCAATTGTTCTCAGGCAGTAGGAAACATACATCAGTCTGTGATTGAAGCTGAATTAAGGGAATTAAGGGGCACCTGGGTGGCTCAGTCGGTTGATTTTTGGCTCGGGTCCTGATCTCAGGGTCATGGGATCAAGCCCCAGATCTGGCTCCCTGCTTAGTGGGGAGTCTGCTTGTCTCCCCCTCTCTCTGTTCTTACCCCTCTCATCCTCTCCTCTCTCTTTATCTCAAATAAATAAATAAAATCTTAAAGAAACAATTGATTTGTATCTAAAGGTCTCTTTTACTGTTACATATTAAATTATAATGCAACAGTTTTTAGAGATATTTGAATATGTTAATGTATAAAACTGAATTTGGACTTCATCATCTCTATGCTTGTGTCTTTTTTTTTTTTTTTTTCAAGATTTTATTTATTTATTTGACAGAGCGAGATCACAAGTAGGCAGCGAGACAGGCAGGGGTGGCGGGGGCAGGGGGGTGGGGAGCAGACTCCCCGCTGAGCAGAGAGCCCGATGTGAGACTCAATCCCAGGACCTTGAGATCAGGACCTGAGCTGAAGGCAGAGGCTTAACCCCCTGAGCCAAAGTGCTCCTCTGCTTGTGTCTTTTTACCAGAATTCCTTAGCACTATGTAAGGTATGAATTAAAAGAAATTTATATTTGGAAATCATCACATATTTAGTAGAGTGTCTATTACTTTTTGTAGTCAAAAGCCAATGATAGTAAAAAGAAACATAATAATCCCTGTTTATGAAGAAAAGACTAGATACAATATTGTGATTTGTTACAGACACTAATTTAGTATCTTTTTTTTTTTTATCTTTACAGACTTTGCTTCGTCCTCTTCAAGCTTTATGCTCTTTCCAGCTTCAGCACGGTGCTCAAATTCGCCTCAGCAAGGAACACCTTCTGAAGAATGGATTATATCTTAAGCCAATGCCAAAGAACAAACGCAAACTCAGGAAAATGGAACTGTTAATGAACAGTGTTAAAATTTAGTACAGTTGTTTCATGGTGCTAGTTATGATGTCTTCCACTAATAAGACCAGGTTAAGTTTTCAGAAAATTGAAGTCCGTGGGTTTTTGACTATCTGAATAATGAGATTGGCATACTAAACTTGCCCAGAAGAAGGAAGTAAACCAAATAACCATAAAAAAGCAAATAAAAAAAAAAATTCACTGACTCCATAAAAAGCAAGGTTTCATAGTGTATTTGTTTTAAAAAATGTGCCTCTAAAACATTTTTTCAGATCCATTGTTTGAAATGTGATTAGTTGTTGAGTGAGGTTAGAAGTTCTTTTTTATAAAATGGAAAGAAATTATTGCACGTGATCGGGGCAGTAGTCTTTTCATTAATTTATAGATAGGTGTAGATCTGTAATAGAGGGCGCTCACATCAATATGCAATCCTGTACAGAAACTTTATAGTTTGTAATAAGTAACAAAAATAATGGTCATCAGGTAGTTGAGATTGAATTAATTTATTTCATAGAATACTATAACAGAATAAGGAAACTAAATATATTTTTTAGGGGCTAAATTTAAATTCAGCAATTTTGATTTAAGTGTTCTACTAATTGCCTGAATTTTTTGGTATTAGAGTACAATTGGAGTATAAAATTATATTAGCTTCAGATGTTCACCATAATAATTCAGTCTTTATATACATTGCAAAATAATCACCACACAGTAAGTCCAGTCAACATCCCTACATATTTATGAAATTTTTTTCTTATAATGAGAACTTTTAAGATATACTTTTTTAGCATCTTTCCAATATGCAATATTTGCAGTTTTGCAGAATTATTAACTATAGTCACCATGTTTTATTTTACATCCCCATGACTTATTTATTTTACAAGTGGTAGTTTCTTCCTTTTGCCCACCATTCACCCTCTGCCTCCAGCAACTGCTCTATACTCTATATCTATGAGCTTGTTTTTTTGTGTTTTTTTTTTTTTAATGATTCCACATAAAAAGGATATCAAATAATACTTATCTTTCTCTTTGTGACTTATTTCACTGAGCATTATGCCTTCCAGGTCCATCCATGTTGTCAGAAATGACAAGATTTCAGTCTTTTTTTTAATGGCTGACTAATAATCCATTTCAGTTATCCTTTGATGGCTGTTTAGGTTATTACCATATCTTGGCTGTTGTAAATAATGCTATAGTGAACATAAAGGTATATCTTTTCAAGTTAATCTTTTTGTTTTGTTTGGCTAAATATCCAGAAATGGAAATACTAGACCATATGATAGTTCTATTTTTTACTTCCTGAGGATCCTCCGTATTGTTTCCCATAGTGGCTGCACCACTTCACATTCCTGCCAACAGTGCACGAGGGTTCCCCCTTCTCCACATTTTCCATGTCAGCCCTTGTTATTTCTTGTCTTTTTAATACTAGGCATTCTGACAAGTGTGAGATAATATCTCTTTGTGGTTTTGATTTGTATTTCCCTGATGATGAGTGATAGCAAGCGTCTTCTCATGCACCTGTTGGCCCTCTCTATGTCTTTAGAAAAATGTTGATTCAGATCCTCTGTACATTTTCCCCCATTTTTAAATCAAATTGTTTGTGGGTTTTGTTTTTTTTTCTATTGAATTATATGAGTTCTTTATATATTTTTGTTATTAACCCTTATCTGATATCTGATTTGCAAATATTTTCTCCCATTCCATAGGTTGCCTTTTCATTTTGTTGATGGTTTCCTCTGTTGTACAGAAACTTTTTAGTTTGATGTAGTCCCACTGGTTTATTTTTACTTCTGTTACTTGTGCTTTTGGTGCCTGATTTAAAAAATCATTGTTAAGATTGATGTCAAAGAACTTACCACCTTTTTTTTTCTAGTTTTATGGGTTTCATTTCTTGTATTCAAGTCTTTAATCCATTTGGAATTAGTTTTTGCGTGTGGTATAAGACGGTGGTCCAGTTTCATTCTTTTGCATGTGGCTGAAGCTTTTCCCAGCATCATTTGTTGAAGAAACTGTCCTTTCCCCACTGTATATTCTTGGCTCCTTTGTCAGAAATCATAAATCAATTGGTCATGCATGTGTGGGTTTATTTGGGAGCCCTGTTCTGTTCCATGGATATATTTGTGTGTTTTTATGCCAATACCATACTGTTTTGATAACTATAGCTTTGCAATGTACTCTGAAATCAGGGAGCGTGATGCCTCCCTCCCTCTTTGTTTTTCTTTCTAAAGGTTGCTTTGGCTCTTTGGGGTCTTTTATGGCTCCTTATAAATTGCAAGATTTTTTGTTCTCTATCTATGAAAAAATGCCGTTGGAATGTTGATACAGATGTCAATGACTCTGAAGATTGTTTTGGATAGTAGCCCAAATTCTGAAAGAGGTGCATGTAATTTTGGCATAGCATGCATTTTTATTTGTAATCACTCTGGGTAAGGTTAGATTTTTTCAACTAAAAAAAGGTTTATTGACTGTGATTAGTTGTGTTGAAATTTTCACATGGAAATAACTGAAATAGCATATAATACAACTATACTTTCAGGAACATATTTTTCTAACTAAGGCTATTTAAATCTTTTTTGGTGGCAAGAACTTTTAATTTCAGAGATTAAATTTTCCCTACCCTCTTGGGAAAATATTTACTAACATCTTATATAGTATTAGAGGCATGTATGTAATATATATTTATATCTAACTTAAAATCTACTGCAGTTGGAGTCACATATTGACAAGAAGAGGGGCTTTGCTTTGTTCTTTTTTTATGACTTCTAGAGTGTGCTGTATCAAGTGTTAAGTTGTAAGGAAGAACTAAACTTGTGATATAAAAATAAGCTTGTTATGTATGTGTCTGTATGTGTGATATATGAATGGTTATTTCTGACTGTTTTCATACTTTTTTTTAAGTTGTTAACCTGGATTAGACTCTTCTTAAAAGTTTTAATGCTAGTCATAATGAGAATGCTGATGAATGTTTGGGGAAACTATGCAGAAAATATTTTAAAATACTGAACAAAAGTTAGATTTCTTTTTATCTTGTATTACTGAATTTTTGGGTTTAAACACAAGTTAGCTCATTTATAATCTAAGACACCTACTATTGAATGACTTCCTAGGTATGATAGAAAAGAAATAGTAATAATAATGTGTAATGGTTTCCTAAAAAATGAGTTAAAATCATCTTACAGTAATATTTTCAGGTTAAAAATAAAATTTTACAAATTTTTTTACCCATTTTTATTGCCTCTTTAAAAAAGAAATCACTGTATAAGACACCATATAAATCTTTAAATTGTACTTTAATTTATATTGATTTTTTTAAGAATGATTACTACCTTTATCTATTAACTACAGCATTTTAGGGTAATTTTTGAACCCTTACAAAAGCTTAGAATTTAGTATTTTTCAAAACTTATAAAAAACTTTTAAAGAAAGTATATATAGTTTTCCAAGTTATTTTTCTGACCTCTTATTTTATTAATTTTTTATCTTTACTGACCTCTTGACAAGGTGATTTCACTTAATCTTTTCTGGTATTCACTGCTTCTTTAGTCACTTGCTCTCATTAGGCAGTTTTAAGAACTATAATTGATAGTTTTAGTTACTAAAAATACTCAAAATAGGTAGAATTATATGATTTTAACTGAAAATTTTATCTGGCTTTTAAAAGTTTTTTTTTTTCTTTTTTTTAATTGTAGTTGTCTTTTTAATTCAGATGCTTTATATTTGCTTGATTTGCCTGGAGTAGTTTCAGTTTTTGTGGATTTATAGCTAATAGTAGTGTTTACTTGCACCCTCCCACTGCACTTTGATGTTGCGTAGATTGTTTCATGAATTGTTATTTGAACCATGTTACTCAGAGGACAGGATTTCTTTATACACAAGATGTCATGCATTTCATCAGCCCCAAGTGTTGGGTTGTAAATCATCATGTAATGAGTGGTGTTATTTTCAGAGTTTCTGGCCTATGTGAGTATAAAGCATTGAGAACTATAGTGTATGAAGCCAGTCACAGTGCTTGGCAGATTTCTGTAGGTTGGATTACAAGATTTTTTATGTGGAACATGAGAGTTATTTTAAGAAAAATTACGTTCCCCTGTTTTAAGATTCACACCCAACTTTCCATGACCATTACAATGTTAGGGTTTTCCCCCAAGATTTTAGAAGAAGCAAGCTCCTTGCTACTACCATTGTTAATGAATTATATGAAAGAACACTTCTACACAACTTCTCCAGTTTGCTCATCACATATTCCCATTTTCTGCCCTAAATTGGCTCTTTAAAACATGTGATTGTGTAGACAGTCCTTTCCATTGAATGCTGATGAATTTCGGGGAAGTAAATTGTTGACCCTTGGATAAAATTGTCATTGGTATAGAAGTAAATGTTTTTGATGCCCTAAGTAAAAACAAAACAAAGCAAAACAAAACAAAGCTAGATTTGTCTTGGTGAACTCACAAGTTTTATGTAGTGAGCCTTTTACTATGTAGATTTATTCCTTAAATATAGGTATGAATGTATATCCTCATAGATTTGTAAATAATATTATGGTTGAGATGTAATGAAACTTCGCATTTAATTACATCCCATAGCATAGAATGAATCACTGCCTCTTAGTTTTCTCAATCTAAATTTTTATCTACTGGATTTGCTTAGCATATTCTCCTTCCTTTTTCTTTTTCTTTCAGCCTTATTGAGGTATCATTGACAAATGAAATGCACAATATGATTTGATGCACATATGCATTGTAAAAAGATTCTCCCCGTCAAGTTAGTTAATTGACATATCCACTACCTTACATAGTAACCTTTTGTGTGTGTGTGTGTGTGTGTGTGTGTGTGTGTGATAACATTTAAGTTCTATCCCTTGGCGGATTTCAGTTATACTGTTCAGTGATCAGCTATAACCATGTTCTCCCTTTTTCCTCATACTTCCTTCTTCCTGGGCTCTTCCTCTCCCTTCCTCCTCACTCTCATGATCCTCTCTCCTTTTCTACTATCCTTATCCTATCTACTAGTTTTTTTATGTGTACAAATTATTTATGTATCCTTGTATAAGTTGTTTTCTTATAAAAGATCCTGTAGTGGTCTTAATAGATTATAGTTTTGTATTTAAAATTTGTGCAGGAAATCAGGCAGTGCTCTGTGATTTACTCTGTTCTGATGATTTGCCTCCCTTATTCCCTTACTCTACTAAAAAAAAAAAAAAGCACACTATAG